GGAACGGGTTGCCCAGAGAGGTAGTGGGGGCCCCATCCCTGGAAACATTCAAGGCCAGGTTGGACAGGGCTCTGAGCAACCTGACCTAGCTAGCGGTGTCCCTGCTCACTGCAGGGGGGTTGGACTAGATGACCTCTAGGGGTCCCTTCCAACCCAAAACGTTCTACGATTCTATGATGATTCTACGATATAACTAGAGAAAATTCTGTTTTCCTTTTCTCTCATTTTTTGGACAGCTGGTGGGTGGTATCTGATTTAATACTGTGTACAGTAATTACAGTTAAAATATTGTTCATATTTTTTATTGCTGTAAGTGTTGGAAGACTGAGTGGGCAGTGGAAGCAGATATTTTCCATCAGTTTTGTAGAGCTTAAGTACACATTTTAAATTTTTCTGCTTTATTTTCTCCCTGCAAAGAAAACCTTTTAATGCATGCATGCATGCATATATTATCCAATACAGGAATATCTACCAACATCAGGTGACAAACAACTAGGTGACATTTGGAAGTGATTTATGTTCATCTCCCAGAAATAATAACAGATTGTAGGCGTACATTGGCAAATCAGTATAAGCTGGTATAGACTCATTAAAATAGATCCAGAAAGACTGTCAAAATAAACAGAGAAACCTTTACAGGAACAAGGCATCATTCTATTTGTTCTCTTCTTGTATATTTATCAAAGATCCCCCCTCCACACACACACAAAAGATAAATATCAAGCAGGTAGTTCAGTGCTTGATAAAAACAGCTGCTGATAATGAATAAGCTAGTGACTGAATTAACCTAGGAATTATGCAGAAGTCATGGGTGCCCAGTGGTTACACTCCAGATAAAGCTGGTCAGTTCTTGGATATAACTGTTGAATAGTTCATCCAACTAGTTTCTTTCAATGCACTTTTAAAGTGCAAGAAAGCTCCCAGCAGTATCATCAGAACAGATGCAGCACTCTTATCTCTGAAGCCATGCTACTGTGATGCCCCTGACACTGCAGGTATTCACGTACTTAAACACTCCAAGGATGCATCTGAGCAACACACCACGGGAGCTCTGTGGAAACAAGGAGGCTACCATTTTGCATGTGTTAACTCCAACAGTCATCTTGGGGAAAAGGAAGACACCTGAGCCTTCCCCAGGAAAAATAGGATTGTAATTTAAGGGATGCTAAAGGCTGCCAGGATGGTGACATTGGATTGTTTCATTGAAATTACCTAATCTGTCACTTCTCTCAGAATAAATTCTGATATCCATGAATACTGAGAATATTAATAAAACAGCAGCTGTAGTAATATTTCTATTTTTTTATGTTCTTTCTTCCCTACAGAAAGCACTTTGAAAATCCATAAACTCCAGTGGTGACAATTTAATAAATGGGCTTAATTCTGGCAAAACAGTAAGGTCCCTTATAACACCTCAACATCTTGCTATTTTCATCTACAATGGTGATTTCACCACTGTAATATATGTATCTTAGGATATTCCCAGGTATTCCTAGGTATTTCGTACCTAGAGAGTTTTTCTGACACCTGTATTTTTGTTTTCGCGTGGGGTTTTTTGGTTCATTTCTTTTTCCTAAGGTACCGCTACTGCTTTTTACCAATGTGTGGAGTAATGTAACATTGTTTTAAATGTTCTCATCATGTTATTAACACTTTAGAACAGTAAAAAGGGACAAGGAGGAAAAAAACCCAAATAATAAAGTCCCCAAAGCCGACTCTAGATATGTCCAACATTTTGTAAAATTCTGAAATGATGAACGTTTCATTGTGTGTCCTGCAAGGAAGTAAGAAGTGTTACTTGCATATTCTGGTGTTAAACTACAAGAAATTCAATATATTATTCAAATACTTAGCTAGAAATAATAAGTTCTCCTGCTTTCATCTTCTTTGGTCCTTTACATAGAAGGACATTTACAGGCTTGACCTCTATTTTTAGCAATACCATTCATTTTGACCTCAAGCTCCTAGGAAATGATTCCCTACAAGATGAGAGCAGTTCTTTTATAAAACACACTCATGATAATCACACGAAATGATAGGTTGCAGCTATTTTCAATAATAACTGCAAATCCCGCTGCTACCCATTCCCACAGTCTGTCATACCACACAAAACCTGACTTAAGGCTATTTTCTAACAACATGCATCATGA